TCTCTCTCTCTCTCTCTCACCCACACTTGGTGTCACAGGCAGTATGGACGCAGCAGTGAAACAGCATCAGCTCCATTGGACGGAGCTGCGTTGTACAAGCAGGCCACTTGGATGCGAATTGACAGAACTTGTACGTCTAGAAGCCACCACCTGTGTCTGCACAGGGGCATCGTCCGTCATTCTTGTGCTGGCGGCCGTGCTGGTGGAAGAAGCCCGCTGTGACCGCGTTGAAGACGAGAGAAATCGTGTAGCGTAGATGTCTGCCAACATAGGTGGCGGTCGTGAGTTCTGCCGCGTTAGTGATCCACGCATGCGCCGCTGGTAGAGTGGTGTCACGGCAGCCGACACGGATGCCGGCTGATCCTCATGGCTCATCAGAGGAGCTGTAGCTTCTGTATTCACATGATTGGGTGAAACAGAGGTATGTGCGCCTTGCTCAGCATTGCTTGGTGATACAGATGAAGTAGCAGCTACAGAGGACGGCGATCGGTGGACAGAGGAGCTACTGCAGCCACTAAGACAGCTAAAACGCGATCTGTAGAGTCGCTCAAAGGTCTCTTGTCGTGCTTTGCGTGTGGTAGGACGGCCAAGGCCACCCATCCTGTACATTCCAGGAAGAAGCGGTCCGCTCACGTCTGGCATAAGAACTTTGGTCTTCGAATGACGACGGTGGCGATGGGAATATGTCCCACCTTGGCTGTCAATGCCTTCTTCACTACTATTGCCGTCATGTTCACTCATACTGGCATCCTCAAACATCGCCTGCTGCACATATTCTATGCGTGCAAAACACTCGTAGCGATTGATGGGGATGGTATTCTTGCGGAGCTCATCGATGAGCCTTCGCGCCTTTGACCTCGCGATAATGGAAGCGGATATCTCGTCAGGCCGTTTGGGTTCCATGTATCGGGGAACGTCCGAGCTCCTGCGTTCCCTTTGCGCTCCTGTTGAGGAGCGTGATCTCACAGAAGCGGAAACGGCACGGCCCCTTTTCTCATACGTCTTGTCACTACCACCACCACCACCACCACCACCACCAGTAGCAGTAGCAGTGCTATCCAAGGCACCAGCTCTTACAACCGGTGTGCTCGGCGATGAAAATGGTACTCGACGCACCTTTTGACGTTTCCAAATAATGGGTCGTGATGCCAGTGGTAGCGCTGGAGGCATTGGAGGAAGTCCAGTTCCTCTTCCTTGTTTGAGAGAAGCTTCAGGAGGAGTAGTATTCAGGCTCTCCGTGATTTCTAGCCCCCTCATTACATACTCCACCGTTTCAGGGGCACGAAGATGTTCAACAGTGTCGCGGCCGCAAATCCGTTGCAGCGGCTCTGGCGCCAACGCTGCAAGAATCATACACACAGTCGGAAAAGAATGTCTGGACGTGCCGCCCCCCCGATATCTGGGCACAAGACCCTGAAGTTCATCCTCTATAAAAACCAGAAATTGTGGAAGTTTCATGCACTGGCAATCTGTACTGTCATTTGTAGAAGCGGACGCTGCATGGCACCAATCGGTCAGCGTGGAAACAGCATCCCACACAATGCGCCTTGGAGGCAAGGAATTCCGTCGAAGGTCGGTCATGCGCCTAAAATCTCGCAGAAATAATTCCATTCCTCTTCCTTTTCGTTCCAGTGCACCGCAGTGAATAAACAACTTCACCAATGCGACATCAGCCTCTTCAGTCCCAGTAATCCATCTTTCTTCAGAATAGCTACTGCCATCGCCGTTGGCCGTGTCAGCGAGGTGACTAATGGCGCTGGCGTTGGCACAGCCTCTACCTTGATCATCAATCAGTTTAGCTTCGGACCTTTGTGTCACGGCGCCCTCTCTACCACACATCCTCTGGTCCTCTTCTGAATTATGATGTGGCACATCCGGGGTGACAACTCCAGTAGAATTTGCGTTGCTTTCAAAGGTGCATCCCTGTGCATCTATCAAGTGCTCAACAAGGGAAATCCATTGCGCAGGAGAAAGCGAGGATTGCTGGGTGTCCAAAGTTCGAAAAAACGGTTCTAACTCTGTATCGCTAGGTGTGGGATGTATGCCTAATCTTTTTAACACGCGAACGGCATTATCGCGTCTAATTCCATTCTCCTCAGAGAAAATAGTTTGAAGATGCTCCCTTTCGCTCACGTTCAGCCTTGAATAACCCAGATTCTCCACGCCTCCTCTAGAATTGTGGATGGACCCCGGCTCTATGTTGTAATGCGGGCAAGATCTACCATTCATGTCGGCAAGTGGTTGAGTGGGAGACGTTTCTGGTACTTCAACGCGACGGTTTGTGGTACCGGTATGTTCGCCTGGGGGCACATCCAAAGCATGTCTCCCCGCGACAATATCTGCGAGTGTTGGCTTACCAGGGGCCTTTGTGTCACGGCCCATTTAATAGCCTAATGATTCGCTAACAAATTTTATGTATACACTTTAACGATACACAATCTTCCCAACCGATCAACCAGCCAGCTAGCCAACCAAGTTCGTGGCTGAAAGAAACAGTGAGGGTAGGAGACCTGTTTTTGCCTACAAAACAAGTAGCCACTTTACGGAGGGAGATGAAAAGAAAGAAAAAAAATTTTCAAATAAAAATCATGCCACAGTGGTAAGAGTTTCGGCTCATTCAACGTTTCAAGATTATAGTTAGACTGGTAAATCTTACCAGAAGGATAGAGGTGGTGAATACGGGGAGTTTTTTTAAATATATTTTACACGAAGAACAAGAGAACGAGACGAAACACAATCCGACAAAAAAAAATGTCAATCATCCAATCATAACGGTCCCGTCAAAAGAGTGCGAAGGTCTTTCCTTCCATCTGTTTCATCAATTTCATCCAGCAACTCTGGGGCTTTTTCAACGAGCACAAACTCTTTCCGTAGTACCACGCCATTGCAGTCCTTCGAGCAATTATTCGAGCAAACGAAAACTGTCACCGTACCCCAATCAACACCCTCATCGCCATTTTTTCTCCCAGCCACCACGTATTCGCCAACACGCAGATAGTACACACAAGTTGGCATGATCTGCACCTCATGAATAAGAGCAGCTCCACAACTGCCACACGGCGGTATACGAAAAAAATCCTTGACCCTTCGGGGGTTCATAAAAAGTGGCGGAGCAACTGCTAAATTCGAAGCAGCCTCCCTTTTCTGAATTCCGTCACGCTCATAATACCGAAGGACTTGGGTAGGCTCTCTCGCCATCTTTCTTCGAAACTTTTCAAAATCATAATCTGAGGGTTTGTCCTTTAGGTCAATCGCTCGCTCCAACTCCTTCACATCATTTTCAGTAATGTCAGGGTTTTTGGCATTTTCTTCGGCGGCTTTAATCATCTCAGTTTCAAGATCAGTTGGTACAACGATTTCCTTCTTCGGTTCAGGGAAAATGTCCACGCAACACGGAGGAAACGTGTTTGGGGGCAACTCGGCCGGGGTAAGAGGACCCATTTCAATGACTTCATCAGAGCAATCATCTTGTAAAGCCTGTTCATCAGCGGCGTCAACCTGCAAAGTGAAAGCACACCAACTACTAGATGGCTGACGTGTGCATATAGAAGAGTTACAACAGAACACGTACACCATACGATGATGCAAAGAAGGCGCCAGTGGTAAAGGGCTAAAGGCTTGAAGGAGGAGAAACATTTGCTGGCCACATACTCCGCATGTTGTCCATTCACGAATAGTCTCACTCTGGGAAAGAGAGAGAGCTGGAAAGTAAGATGGGGCACCGCCAATCTTCGTCTCTGAGGTGAGTTTGTCCCTGTCAAGAGACATGTAGCCATCAAATACACCCAACAAGACCTCTGGCATTCTAAAGAATTTAAGTCTTATTTGTGGTGTTTTCTTTTAATCTCCAAAAGGCACAACAAATTCAAAAAAAAGGGACATAAAAATAAATAAATAAATAACCAACAGACAGAACGAATATTTATCTTTTCCCTCCCCCATGGTGATATTCAAACCACGATTTCCGTTGAATGGCTCGGGTGAATCAACTTCTTTCAAATTGAGAGGAGGCCCTCACCTATCCGTCAAAGCATGAGGACGAAAACGCCACACAAGGGCCATTGGGGCCAAAAGAATTGCCGATGACAAGATATTTTTGAACTGTTCTCAAAAGCAGATGAATCAAGCACATCAACTCGTCATCAGAAGCGAGCAATTAAAAAAAAAAAGGAGCCACCGAAACAAAACACACAAAAGGCAAAAAAAAACAGCTACGTTATCAAGAGATTCCTATACTCAATAAAAGAATGTGCTTTGAAAGAAAAAAGCCCAAATCTGTTTGGTTCACTTGGCGTATATATTTTGATGGACTAAAAGAAAAACAGAATTCACACGGACCCAAGTTCATCCGCCCATCTTTCAAATTCCTTGATTGAACTTTGAGAAACAGAAGGTTGAACCTTTTTTACGGCCTCTTCAAAGTCCTGCATCGTAACCGCAGAAAGAACCATTTTTCCGTCAGCCTTCATTGCTGCAATTTCAGCTGGTGTCCTGTCAGCAAATAGCCTACGCATGGGCATCATAGCCGCATCACGAACAAGCAAATTCAGATCCGCCCCACTGAACCCCCCCGTTCGTTTAGTAGCTATTACATCAATATTGACGTCAGAAGCTAAAGACATGGAGGCAGTTTGCTTCTTCAGAAGTTCAAGTCGACCATCCCTATCAGGCAGCGGTATATAAATGCGTTTCTCTAGACGGCGGCGCATAGCATCATCCAAATCCCATGGACGGTTTGTCGTTGCAAGCACCATCACCCGCTTGTCATTATCTGTACATAATCCGTCAATTTGCTGAAGCATTTCGCTTTTTACGCGTCTGCTGGCTTCATGCTCATTTCCGCCTCGTGTTGACATCAGGGCATCGACCTCATCAAAAAACACAGTTGAAGGTGCATAATGGCGTGCTAGTTGAAACAATGTTCGAACCATTTTTTCACTTTCGCCAAAATATCTGCTGATAAGCGAAGATGCACTCATATTGAAGAAAGTTGTTTTTGCGCTGGTTGCTACGGCTCGAGCAAGCATTGTTTTTCCTGTTCCAGGGGGACCAAATAAAAGCACACCTTTCCATGGTTGTACAATCCCCGTAAACAGCTCTGGAACTAAAAGCGGAAGAATAACAGCTTCATTCAACAAACGTTTTGCCTCTGGTATACCAGCTATATCTTCCCATAGAACATTGGGAGAACGCTCAATAATCTCCGATTCAATACGTTCAGCAAATTCTGTATTAATACCAGGGGGAAGGCTGCCACCATCCGTTGGGACACATAGTTTTTCCTTTTGTTTTATTTTTTTCTTTCCAATAGAGCTTTCTTTTACGGTAGGTGCCCGATTCTCGGCCACAGCAGGCCTTACTGTAGAATGGCATTGTTCGTCTTCTGTAATCACCTGACCTTTTTTTGCTGCATCACTTTTTTTGGGCGATAGTGTAGCTGTAGACATTCGCCCGTATAATCGATTGACAGGTGGCTTGTCCCCCTCTGCGACAGCAACTTCTCGCACTGATATTTTACCTCCTGTGGCAAGAAGAATGGGAAGTGCTTCTCCCAAGTGTACGCCTGTGGCTTCAATCATTGGATAAAGAACCTCACCATTAATTGATAGGCTCATGAATTGTGATGTAATAACAAGTGTAAGCGTTACGCGGTCTCTTATCAATCGAAGTGGTTTCATCGGCTCCAAAACAACCAAACGTTCAAATGTTTCTTCACTAGTCATACGCCAACGCTCTACTGAAAGAAAAACCGCACCAGATGGATCAAAATGAATCAAGACCAAAGAAAATCCTCTCATTTCTTCTCCAGCTGCAGGTGTTACTCCCATGCCAAACATAGCATAGTATCCTGGGGCGACCAAACTTTGTACCTGTGATGTAAAGCATGCCATCCCTTGACCTTGAGGTAGTGGTGCTACCGCCCGAAGTAGTAATAAATCACTACAGTGTATTTTTAGAGTCTGTTCATTATGAACCTCAGCACCTATAAATACCATGTGTGAGCCCATTGTATTCTGTCGCTGAATACGACCACCCGAACACATTTGTGTCCATCCTGGAACACGATCACTTGGCTGCTGAAGGCGAACAGGCATATTCTCTGGGCTTGTGTCTTCATCAATAGGCCCTATCCATTCGGGTCGTGCAGGTGAGTGGCGATACTGCGAATAGGATGTAGTGGCCATATTTTTTATTTGCGCAGATCGTGGAGCTGTGGGCATGATACCTTCACGTTGCAAAGCGTTTCGTTTACCGTTGCGTGGTCTGCCGGTGGCCAATGAACGATTCCCTACACTACTATGTGACGGAAAAGTCTGAAACTGTTGATTGTTCCCCCGTTGATTTTTTAGTGAAGAATAAATAGCCTGTTGTAGTCCGATGTCTTCATTCATAACTTCTTGAAGCTCTGTATAATGTATACGATTTCACGCCAGAAAGAAAGAAAAAGCGTATAGGAGAAATATATTGGGAAAGAGGAGGACTAAAAATAATAATAATAATAAAAACACAATTTAACCAGAA